CTACGCAGGGTTGCTATGTGTTGGAACCGACTCCACAGCACATAACCACCACCACCTTCCTAGCATACCTGTGTAAAGGTGAAGATTGTGCTCATGAGAAGAAACTAAATTAATTAGATTGGCCCCAAAGCCCTAGTGGCGTAGTGGCCACGTACTTGGCTGCTAACAAGAAGGTTGGGGTTGGAATCCAAGAGTTGTTCCTAGATCACAGCCTTGGAAAGACAATGGGGCAGTCCTACTATGTCCTACAAGGCCACTATGAGTCTGAATCAACTCCACACCAATGGGTTTGCTTTGGGGTTAGACTGACCCATGACCCATGGTTCTCCAATCAAGGTCTCGCTAAAGCTCAGAGCGCGGTATGATGGCAGCCACACAGCTGCAATGATCTTCTCAGATGGTCCCTGGCCCTACAATGAGCCCTAGTCAATTTTCCAGGGAGGGAGAGGGACATTACTCACTCCTGTTGCCCCTCATTGCATCAGACCATCAAGACGATACTGAAGAAAGAGTTCTTGAAATAAACGGAATGAATCCTTCATCTCTTTGAATCAGGAGAGACCCATACTCTTATAAGCAGTTAGCACCCAGTTACCACAACTGAATGCTATAATCAAGACCTCCAAAGAGAGATCCTGATAAAATGGGAGGAAAATGTGGAACAGAACCTCAGAACCCTGCTTTAAAAAAACCCCACCAAACCTACTGGTTGAGAGTAGAGGACTCCCTGAGACTATCGCCCTGAAATACTCCTCAAGCTTTGAACTGAAACTAGCTCCTAGTGTCACTTTTTAGCTGGATTGGCTCACAAAATAAAGAATGTCACCTGTGAGAACTGTGCTCCTTCCAAAAAAGCCATCTGTATGAGCCCAAACGGTCAACAGTTACTTTTAAACAAAGATGAGAAGGTAAGGGAACAGGGAAACTAGATGGATGGAAACAGAGGAACCAGAAAGAAAATATAGAGACTGTTTATGTATTGTAAAGACCAATGTCACTGAACAACTTGCGTAGAGTTTGTTGAATGTTAACTTAAACAGCGGTGTAAACCTTCATCAAAAACATAATAACAGATTAGTTTTTAAAAAGAGCAAGAATGAATCCCATACTACTAAAAGCTTATCTGATCCCTGGACACAGTACCAAGAAAGGGGTGCAGAGTGAAATTGCTGATCTCCTTAGGAACACAAGTCACAAGACAGTCACGTCAGTGACCTAGAGAGCATTGCCTCTTTGACCTTCATTTTCAAATGTCTGATGATTCGGAAAGAGCTCAGGGCTATGGGATATTTCTCTAAGTCAGTGGTTCACAACCAGGAGCGATTCTGCCCACCAGAAGACGTTCCACAAAATCTGAAGCCACTTTTTAAGGAGCACTAGAGTGCCATGGGAAGGAGCTCTGGTAGCATAGTGGTTGCAAATCGGGCTGTGAATCGCAAGGTCAGCAGTTCAAAACTACCAGCTGTTCCATGGGAGAAAGACGAGGCTTTCCGCTCCCATAAAGATTTACAGCCTCGGAAACCCCGTTCAGGGTCACTATGGGTCGGAACCGACTCCACGGCATATAACCACCAGAGTGCAATGGGAGTCCTGGTGTGGTGTTGTGGGTTAATGTGCCAGACTGCAAAGCCATTTGAACTGCAAGTTTGGCTGTTCAAACTCACCAGCTATTCCTTGGAAACCCCACACAGGGTCACTATAGGTCGGAACCAACTCGACAGCACTTAACAACAACAACACAACAGGGTGTAATGGGTCAAGCGCTGAACTGAAAACCTCAGGGTCAGCAGTTCAAACCCACAAGCTGTTCTGTGGGAGAAAGGTGAGGTTGATTTACAGTCTCACAAACCCAAAGAAGTAGCTCTACTGTGTCCTATGGGGCCGCTAAGAGTTGGAATTGACTCAATGGCAGAGGATTGGAGACATTTTGGGTTGTCCGAATTGGCAGTGGGGAGGTGGGGTATGTTACTGGTATCCAGTGGTGGAAGCCAGGAAGGCTGCTAAATATTCTCCGGCACCCCACAATACAGAATCATCCAGCCCAGAACATCACCAGTGCCCCTGTTGAAAGATACTGTCCTTCAAGAATCGCTCCGCTCACAAACCAAAGCCTGTATTCCAAATGACCTGAACAGGAATACTCTGAACATCAGGAGGTTTGGACACAAGAGGGTGGACAGTTCTGTGCTAACCTAGCATTGCTATTGTTGTTGTATTGTTGTGTGCTATTGAGTTGGTTCTGACTCATCCCCTCAAGGATTTGGGTTATGGCTAAGAAGGAGAAATGACGATTTCTTCTAGACAACAACTGATTAGCCTGTACCTCTCTGGTCCTCATAACATAGTCTTAAATGACCATGTACATGGGCTTGGGTTTAAGAGTTAAAGAGATGTCATAACTATATAAAATATAGGAAATGAGTCTTTTCTGTTGCTTTTCTTTCCAAAAAAGAGAGACTTGAACTTAGGTGTATAAATCCTCAGTGAAGAACAATTTTCTTCTGCATTTACAATTGGGCTATTTCTGCATTGTCTTGTTTTTTGAAAAGTCAAATCAGTACATCTGGAGGTAATACTTTCCTGTTTTAAGGGGTTTTACTTCCTCAGTCGGCTGCAAATGTGCTCCGAGAGGCTTTCTTGACTTTAGCACAGTATTCTTATATTTTAAAAAAAACAACAAAAACTTATTGCCAACGAGTTGATTCTGACTCACAGCTGCTCTATAGGGTAGAGGAGAACCACCCCAAAGGGTTTCCAAGGCTGGTTTCTTTACGGAAGCAGCTTGCCACATCTTTCCCCCTTAGAACAGTTAGTGGATTTGAACCGCCGACGTTTTGGTTAGCAGCCAAGCACTGCTGCCACCACTCTCACATGGGAAGTAGCTGTTTTGTGACTCAGAAAATGCCACCAAATAACTCGATCCTTCGTGGTTTGTGTATGTAGCAGGTCATATTGTCTGAATGGCTTATAAGACTCTAACTTGTGGCTTCACATCTGGTGTTTATTCTCATCGATTTCAATTCAATCTATAAACAAACTAACTGACAAAAACAAACAATCCATTGCTGTCAAGTTGATTCTGATTCAGGGCAGAATTTCTTCATAGGGTTTCTGAAGCTGTAAATCTTCATGGAAACAAACAGCCTCATCTTTCTTCCAAAGAGCTACTGGTGAGTTTGAACCACTGACCTTACTGTTAATAGTCAAGCACTGTAACCACTGTGCTACTAAGGATCCTTAGTTTCATATATAAACTCATCATAAATGATTGCATTCCCATAAGTACACAAGTTCCCTCAAAAATAACAACGGAGAAAAAAAAACAAAACAAGGAAGGGGAGCGACGCTAGAAATGAGAGCACCTTCAGGTGTTTATTGTCTCACCTGTATCCATCATCAGAGCTGCTCTGTTCACAAGGAAAGGATTTCTGAGAAAACCACCAGGTACATTTGCTCTGTGGGTACGCTTGAAACCGGACAGAAAAACAAAACTCTTCATACTGGTCAATTTCATAGTCTTCATTTGACTTGGAACCATTTATAAATCCCTTGTCTGTTAAAAAGCCAATATAGTTACAAATTAGATAATGAGGTTCCTATGAAAAGATACACAGGAACCTGTGAGAACTCGGAACCTCAACAGCACTGCCAAGTCTCTGTGGGTCTCACAAGGCTTCCATCTTTGGCCATATGTAGTCTTACCATTTTTTTTCCCTATTGCTCTCTGTTTGGTGCAGAATTTCAACTTTTCCTTCTCTGATAGGTTCCTCCTTCACAGGTTCTGACTTTCATGAGTTTTACTGTATTTAAATGATTTATCAGTTTGACAAAAGAAAACTCGGATGTGGCATGACTTGATAGTGCACATAAAGTATAGGATTCCTTTCCCAAGTGGGTTCATATTTTTTGAAGTCAAGATTCTTCTAAGAATTGCGGGCAAATAATCTCCTCTCTTCCCAGAGGAAGGAAAAATAGATATATAAAGTTTCATACAATCTCAAAGGACCCTAGGGCAACTACATACAGTACACACAAGTTTAGGAAGCCTTGCTCACAGCTAGACCGTCACTCTCAGTGACATGTAAAAACTTACAGTCTTGGGGCAGTGGTACGGTGTCCTACAGGGTCGCCAGTCTGAGTCAATGGCAGTGAGTTTTACATACGTAATCTCTGTTTCTTATGAAATTTGAGATCATATTCAGATCATTTGGTAACCTAGTGTTTACTTTTTTTCTCTACCACTTTTCAATGAAAATTGGCAAATTTTAATGGAAAGATAATGGAATTGTTCCCATGAACTTTTGGAAGTCCCTTTGTATATACTTATGCACTAAGACAAACATTTGATTCATTCATGCTACAAAAGAACCACATGCACCTATTCCAAGGGACCTACAAATGTGACTCAAGACACTCCTAGGAGCAGATCTCATCTGTGACTCAGGGACTGGGTCTACATACCTTACAATCCACAATAAAGTAAGTGAACATATGAACAAAGACTGCATTACAAGCCTGCATTACCTACGATGGTAACCAAAGTTGATTTACTGGGATGCTCTGAAGAGGAACAAGTGTAGGATCCAGTGTTGTTTCTTCCCACTGATGATACAAAAGCAAACAGAATCCGTATCATAGTTCTGTTTGTTGAATAGGTACTCATCTCAAAGTAGCTGTCCTAGATTTTAATGAAACAAAGTTGGAATTTAATGTTTTCCATCTATACTATCATTTCATAGTTCCTGTATAATCAAAATGCAAACTTGTCCTATAGGTTACCTCGGTTAGGGTTTTGTTTCCTAGTTGCCATTTGAGCTCGAATCTATGATTTACATACTTGGCTTTGCATCTTATCCACAGTGGCTCCCCCACTTTGAGAAATAACTCTGGCAGTGTTGACTGAGGAGTTGTATTTAGATCTAGAAGATTAAAAAAAAAAATCACAGATAAGAAAAGACCTTTGCCTCATCACAAAACATAACTCTGAACGTTTGGAAGAACAAGATTTTGATGTCATCTGAAATGTGAGTCAGCACAGTCATAAGGGAATCTTTCAGAAACTGACTACTTTTTATGCAAGCAAAACCCCCCAACACTTGAAGAATTTATAACAGGGCATTTTAAATGGTATGAAGGCACTTCAGCAGATCTGAAGTCAAATGGTTACTGAAACAGTTATCAGTAATCCCAGATGGTTTCAAAGTAACAGATGCTGAAAATAAAAGAACGTTGAGAGATGTTGTTGGTGTTACCTATTGTGAACAGCTTGGTACATTTTCTGCCCAATTCATTTCTTGCACAGCACCTAATGTCTGTTCCAAATAATTCGCGAAGTACTTTCTCCTCCTTTTTAACAATAGCGGGACTTTCTTCTTTACAGCTGCAATTAGGAAATGAAGGCATGTAACATGCTTTCAAATTACAAATGAATGCTTCGGAGAAGAACAAAGTTAGAGAGTCTAGCACCTGCTTTCAGGGAACAAAATAAAGACAAGGTCAGAAGATAAATAAACGCAAGGCTACAGTTTCAGCAAAGGGCTCATAAGGGAATGGATTTGTTACTTATTATCTCAGCCAAGTCAAACTACACAAGTGGTAATTATGTAATAAAATCATATGAAATTCTTGTGTTTACTAACTCGTATTATTACTTTTTGAGAGAAAGAATGGAAAAGGAGACAGAAAATAAAAACATAGAGAGAATCCAATAAAAAAGCAGAAAACAAGGGCATAACTGGGTTTTAATACGTTTGCTGTTGTTAAGCACCATCGAGTTGGTTACAGCTCATAGCAATCCTGAATAGGGTTTCTGAGGAACAACTGGTGGGCTTGAACCTCCAGTGCTAATCCTAAAATACCACATCAGGACTCCTGAATCAAATTAACCAACCCCAAACCACTGCCGCTTAGCGATCCTACAGGGCAGGGTAGATTTGCTCCTTGGTGTTGGTGGTGGTTATGTGCCGTGGAGTCGGTTCTGATTCATAGAGACCCTGTACAGGGTTTCTGAGGCTGTAAATCTTTACGGGAGCAGTAAATCGTCATCTTTCTCCCACAGAACCGATGGTAGTTTCAAACTGCTGACCTGGAGGTTCACAGCTCGATTCGTAACTACTATGCCACTAAATCCTTACAGGAGCAGGCAACCTCATCTTTCTCCCTTGGAGCAGATTGTGGGTTTGAATTGCCAACATTTCAGCTAGCAACTCAATGCCTAACCCAGGATTCCTAGTGTCTTAACCAAGTAGGAATCCTTTTCTTTAAAGCCCAGGAGAGACAACCGGTGGAGAAAGAGAAATGCTAAAGGTACAAAAGTCACGCAAGTTCTGCACCAAATAGAGAAGGTATATGAGGCAGCACTGATGAGAGAAGAGACTGCCTTGTGTTCAGTGGGACAGCACTCTGTCTGCTTGCCTGAAAAATAAACATGAAGTTCCAAAGTTTCCCCAACCCCTTCCTTGCCAAAGTTCATATTGGTTTAGGAGCCTGTAGACTCACAAATCTTCACTCTTTATCATGTTGTTTGACGTCATCGAGTCAATTTCACTCATATCAACACAATGCAACAGAGCAGGCAGCCCCGTAGAGTCTCCTAGGCGATCATCGTTATGCAAGTAGATCACCAGATCTTTCCTCCGCTGGTTAGCGGATGAGCACTTGACCACTTCGTCACTAGGTTCCCTTCTTTGTCATCTTAGCTAAGTCTTTCCTTTGTTTATGTATCATTCCTTGAGTAATGGTTTCTTATTACAAAACAACAATAATTGGGCTCACTGTAGAAATTATGGGAGAGAATTCCTCAAAGGAAATAAGTTTTAATCCCCCCTATTCCTTCCAGCCTAAAATAATACTTGTCATTTGGGAGTGTATCTTTCCAATCTTGTGTGTGTGTGTGTGTGTTTTACATACTGTTTAAGCCCACCAGTCACTCCGAGGGAGAAAGATGAAGCAGTCTGTTTATGTAAAGATTTACAGTTTCAGAAACCCTATAGGGCAGTTCTACTCTGTTTTATATATAGGGTAGTTGTGATTCAGAATCCATGTGAGGGCCATGGGTTTGTTTATTTGTTTTCCTTTATGAAAGATCAGCTGAACAGTTGGTGGCTTTGAACTAAGCAGCAGAATGTCAGACCACTGAGGTACCAAGGCTCCTTGTTTAATCATCATAACAATCCTATAAGGCAAGTCCCTTTATGATCCCCATTCTATTGTAAGTCACAGAGAAGTTAGGTAGCTTACCCAAGACTCTGGAGCTAATAAGCAAACCAAGGTTCAAATCCAGGATGCCTGGCTCTAGATTCCATCTCCTTAAACCATCATATTAAACTGTTGTTTTGTTTTTTTTTTCAGAATAATCACAAGTTACACCTTTATTCACAGTGAATTTCCTACTTAAAAAGGAATTATAGTTTCAACTCAAGTGAATAATGGTTTTATTTGTATAAGGAGCCCTGTGGTGCTGTAGGATAAGCACTGGACTGCTAACAGTAAGGTCAGCAGCTCAAACTCAGCAGCTCTACGGAAGACTGCCTGATTCTGTAGAGATTTACAGCCTTGGAAACCACATACAGGGATGCCAAGAGTCAGAATTTGGGGGCGGGGCTTGAGGGGTTGGTTGATTGATAATGCTTAGGGAGGACTCTGCTGTGGCTGAGCAGATTAAATTTGAGGAGTTCCAAAAACTTTCCTTACTAAAAAGTGCCCATCATCCTTCACGGGAAGCCTACAGAAGTCATTATTTACATGTAAGGAACTCAAGTTTCCTGTTGAAATGGGAATATATTCAATCCTATCTACAATCCCTGGAGAAGGACATCATGCTTGGTAAAGTAGAGGGTTAGTGAAAAAGAGGAAGGCCCCCAATAAGATGGACTGACACAGGGCAGGGGCCATTGTGAGAATGGCCCAGGACCGGGCAGTGTTTCTTTTTGTTGGGCAGAGGGTTGCTTTAAGTCAGAACTGACCCGCCAGCACCTAACAACAACAACCTGTAGTACAATGCCAACTTTGAGAATAAGACCAGGAAAAAACTCAGATCACCGTCATAATTCTCCTGGGAACCGTACCTCTCGCTCTGTGAATCACAGAACACCCATTCCACCACAGGTTCCGGGACGCCCTCGGAGGTACAGAGCAGAGCATCCTGACTCCCCATTCTTTGGAAGTAAGGTCTTCGTAATGTGTAAAGCAGTGTGCCTGAGGAATCAAGGATGAACACTGTAATACTTGCAAAATAAGATTTAGCACACATACAAAATCTACATCCTCGTGAAACATTCATAGTTCATATTCCAGCAGTCAGCATCTTCTGCCCTTCCCCAGCCCCCACCCAGTATATGAATGTCAACTCTGGCTAAAATGTCAGCTTTCATACATATCCTTTTGACCAATGGTTTTGAGTCTATCACAAATCTTGAAATAACTCAAGGAAGTGGGTGAGGGTGTGTTAAAAGACAGAGATTGGTATGTATGAGAAAAGGAAAGGGAGCAATAGTAGACATTTCAGAAACCTACCTTTTGTCTCATGGCCTTACCTAACCCTAAGCAGGAGCGCTGGGGGTGCTGTAGGGGAATGGTGACCACAAGGCCAGTGGTTCAAACCTGCCAGCTTCTCCAAAGGAGAAAGATGAGGCCGGTTAAAGATTTATAGCCTCAGAACTGTATACAAGGTTGCTATGAATTGAAACTGACTTAGTAGCACTTAACAAAAACAACAAGCAAGAATATATTGTAGAGAGATGGAGGCAGAGACGATGCTGTGGAGAGATGGAGCAGCTGGGGACTCTGGGTTCAGGGAGGGAGAGGGGCTATGTGCTGATGGACAGGGGCAGGCTTGCGGGCTGTACCCTTTGGTTGTTTGATGACGCATGGAGAGGACTGTAATGGCAATGAAACAAAATACAATAGGATGAATGTAAAGCTGGTGTTCTCCCATGTAAAAACTATCACACAATTCACAATAAATATAAATAGTGTAAAATATAAATAGTGTAAAAACTATCACACAATTCAAAATAAAAAGAACATAGTGTAGGACAGAGTAGAACTGCCCTTGTAGGCTTTCTGAAGTTGAAATCTTTATGGGAGCAGACAGCCTCATCTTTTTTCCCATGGTGTGAGTGGCTGGTGGGTTGGAACCACTGACCTTGTGGTTTTCAGTCCCATGCTTGACCCACTATACAACCAGTGTGGTTTTGAGATTTAGGCATGCAGGCATAGAGTGTGGAGTTGGAATCAGAACAGAATGTAGAGGCCTAACTTCCATTCACTCTGGGCTCTCCTCTTCTCACCTCCATACCCCTACCCCCCACAAACTCCTCATCTGTCGCTCTCAACAATGCTTGACATTGCTGTTGTTGTTAAGCACCGTTGAGTGGTTCCAACAAGTAGCAACTCTGTATAAAGTTTCCAAGGAGCGGCTGATGAGTTTGAACTGCGACCCTGGGGGTCAAACGGCCTTGCAGCGCCACACCAGGACTCATGCTTGACGTAGCCGCCTTCTATTTCTGCTTGGAACATTCCAGGGATAGAAGTGTCCAGTACCCCAGGACACATCACTCCATATTCAACTTTTTTTTTTCCCCTCAAAGAATGTTTCCTGATCTGGAATTCCAGTTTCCCTCCTAATAATAAACTTTGTTTATAAAAGTATGTAAGGTTTTATATAAGGAGCTCGGGTAACGTAGCGGTTATGAATCAAGCTGCTAACCTCACAGTCAGCAGTTCAAAACTACCAGCTGTTCCACGGGAGAAAGATGAGGCTTTCTGCTCCTGTAAAGATCTACAGCCTTGGAAACCCTGTACAGGGTCACTATGAGTCGGAACCAACTCCACGGCACATGGCAGCAACAAAGATTTCATATAGGAAGGGGCTTTTAAAAGTTGGTGGAAAAATTCCACTCTCTTCATTCCACTGTTCCACAAACTTTTTGAAATGCTCTTGTATAGATAAAAGAATAAATGAAGTATACATTTTGAAGCACAGTCAGAAAAACAAATACTTATGCACCCACAATCCAACATCATAACTGGAGTAACAGTAAAGCGAAATCCTCAGCTCTCAATCCTAGGTAAGTGATACTCTTGAGTTTTGCATTGATCATTTCTGTACTGTTAAAGACCATTCTGTCACATAAATACTTAAGATTTGAAACATGCTACCATTCTCTATGGAGCTCTGGTAGCGTAGGGGTTACGAATCGGGCTGCGAACCTTAAGGTCAG